ATTAGGTACAAAATGGTCACAGGATCAGCTCTGACCATGGGATGACAGTGGGACACGGAAGAAAGAGCCAGGTATCTGGAGTCAAAAGACCCAGGGTTAAGTCCCAATGACTCTGCCTGCAAGCTCAGTAACCTTGATCAAGTCCAGTTACTCACTCATCTGTATGGCATGTTAAATAGAAATATAAATGCATCACCATCGTTGAGCTCATGTTCAATAAGGGCGGGGGGGTAGAAGTGCTTCGTCAAGCAGAGGAAGCTAAAATAAATGTTACTTTTTGCCAAGATCACACGATCATAACAACTTGGCTTTTGCAACTTTGCTGACAGATCATTGTCTGTTTCCTTTCTGGTAAATTTTGCAGTTCAGAGATGCTGCTGCTAAGCAGCAGTAAGTGCTTCGAATCGTTGGGTCCGAAAGATGGCGTGGTTTATCTGCTCATCAGACGGCCCTCTGAATTTTGTACCTCGCTTTCTTCTCAGTGTTAAGTCTGCGATTCCCCCTCTGCTTCTGCCTAGGATATTCTCAGTAATTTCAACCTCTTTTCTTTCCAAGGGTACTATTCTTCTCGTCTTGAACAAAGGCTGGAGGGACTGATGCAAAGCTGGTATGCTCTGACATGCCAACCTTTTCTTTTAAGTATAGAAAGCAAAAAAATTATTTCATTTACTAGGAGAAAAGCTGTGAGGAAACCTGTTCTAGTCAAAATTTCATCTCCACAGTGGAGAGGGAGGTGCCTGGACTCAGGGGTTGCTGCTGAATATGGATTATACTTGAGCTCGGAGGTGACTTTTAGAGACGTCTCTGAAACAGGAAATGATGCAATCAGCTCACACATGAACTAGGAGGCGGTCATGTGCACCATTCACTTCCTGTATCAAGGAGACACCTAGGGAGGGTGGGGAGGAGCATGGGGAAGTGGATCATGGGGAGGCAGAAGAAGAGGCCAGATTGAAACTGTGGGAAAAATTCCAAATCGGCCCCTCGTGCTCCTTCCTCACTCTTCTGGGGCTGTGACTGAGTTAACAGACTCATCTACATCCCTAATGACCAATCTCTGCTGTGAGAAACTGACTGCAATAGCACCCACCACATAACACTCAGCTTCTCTCTTGACCCCACCAGCAAAGGTAATGTGAGTGTGAGCATCGTCATTGTGCATAGCCGTACTAACTGACTCCTCAGAGCTCAGACACCAACTAGACTCATCTAATTCTCCAGCTTTATCTCCAGGTTTCCACCTTAAATAATAAGCTGGTAAGGTAGGGGGAAAAATGGATTATCGAAGCATCTGGTGACCAGCTATCAGCCTGGACTGGCCTTGTTAAGAGTTACTGTTCCCATCTTATTCGCTACTGAAAACTGACAAAGTTAACAGTGGCTGATAAATGGTGAAAAACTGAGACAACTATGGGTGTAGCGATTTTCAGAAGGTACAGGAAAAAGGAGGCAGCACACTGGGCAGTGCCAACATAAAGGGAACTGAGGGTATTACAGCAGCATCAACTACTATGACTGAAATCACATGCATGCAGCTGAAGTGAACAGGCCCCATTCCTGTTGTCAGGGACGAGGACTCCCCCACAGTGTGCACAAGGACCTAGGTTCAATCTCAGGAAGAGAGAGGGAGGGAAGGAGGGAGGGAGAGAGGGGGGAAATTGTGCTAAGTCCACATGCTAAGTCCTGGCTTCTGCTCACTGATGGTGTCAGTGACAATGAACAGTCCTCACATGTACCTTGATGATCCACTTGTCTTATCCAGGGGTGACTGCTAGGAAAGACTCCAGGACAGGCAAATAAGAGCTCATCCAGTGGATCTAGAAACTGTTATACTAAGTGAAGTAACACAGACTCAGAAAAACAAAGGATGTATATTCTCCCTCATATGTGGCTCCTAGCACCAAATCCTTTTAAATTCCAGGTCCTTTTAATAAGGTGATGCTATACAGTAGTCCCTTCTGCATGAAATAAATACCATCATCACGACTTTGGCTGAGCCTGATCATTAAACGTAGTCACAATTGGACTTGCTGACAGTTGTGCTCATTCATTAAAGGAGTGCCAAGCAGGGTCACTGGACCCCCACCTGAGTATCTAGCCACTCTTCCCAGTCAACTAGTCCAGCCTTGGAAGACAAAAGAAAAATGAGGAAGCACCCAATAGAGGGATGCTTTTGGAAGCCCTTGTCAAGAAACTCCAATGGATTCTCACATGAACATTGGAAAATTGCCCTGTTTTGACTTTTTTCTAGTTCCCTGTCCAGAAGTAATGCTAATTACTCTTGCCTTTACTTCTTCACATCTCCTATTCATGATTCAAGGACTTTCTTTTCCCCTTAGAGACAAGAGTTATACAATTTGGGAGTCTTTTAGATAGATCCACTGAAGGGGTACTGTAATTGCCTCACCCTGTGTTCAGCATGGAAGCCAGAGCAGTCTGCATCCCTATTCCCCTATTGGCAATCTGGGTAACCCCTTCAGAGGATAGTGTGATAAGAATAGGAGGTAGGAATTGGCTAGGCAGTTAGGGTAAAAGACCCCAAAGAAATGTAGCCAGTTTCTTGGCTAAAAGTCAAAATGTCAGCCGGACATGGTGACGCACTCCTGTAGTCCCAGCACTTGAGAGGCAGAGGCAGGCAGGTCTCTGTGAGTTCAAGGCCAGCCTGTTCTACATAGTGAGTTCCAGGACAGCTGGGGCTACAGGGAGACCCTTCTTCAAAAAGACAAAAAAGAAAAAAATAAAAGTCAAAATGTCTTTGGGCCTGTTAGCAACATACTCTGTTCCAAAGGCCAAAAATGTCAAAAAGTATTTGGGAGCTTGTATCTAATCCTTAAAAGATTTTAGGATTACCTCTTCAGAGGGGGGAATGTTGGAGGGGAGGGAGTAGGCATGGATTTGATCAAAACACCTTATATACATGTATGAAATTCTCAATAACATTTTTGTAAAAGTTAAAAAAAAAAGAGTTCATCCAGCATGAGCTGGATGTGTCACCTGATCTGCATGAAGACCATGGTGGTGTCTTGATTTACCTCCAGTCTGTTCTGTCACCAAGGGAAGTCAGGCACACTCTGGTGGAGTCCCCTAAAGCTGTCTGGTATCCAGTTTGACAGTCACAGTCAGAGCCGTTCTGTGGCTATTGTGCCTGTGAGCTATAACGGTTCAGAAAGTGGCTATCGTCTCACCTTATTTCTAAGCCAGAAAAAGATACTTTTTGTAGTAACAACAGTAACTTACACAGTTAAAGTGTAGACTCAGACACCCTGAATCGCACCTCAGAAAGGTCAACCATGACAAGAAAATGTTTTATTAAATAAGATGTGTAAAATCAAACACAAAATTCCCATGCATCAAAAGAAAGGCATCCTTTGGATACAGCACACAAAGTGTCTACCTGTATCTACAAAGTGTCTACCTGTATCTATCTAGAGCAGTGGGCACAGCCAGACCCACAGGCAGACTGCAATGGTGTCTGAGCAGGCCTCAGTCCACATGTCCCATGTGACAAACCTTTACCACAGTCCTCCTTCATTGGGGGACCCTGAAGCTACCACCCAAGCACAGGGCCTCATTTATCTGTGTCAAGTTTATCAGACTCCTGCTTTCTGTTTCCTGTCTTCCTAGCTACAAGAAATCCACAGCTGTACCCAACCTTGTTGCTTTTTACTGTGGGGTAGTCATCTTCAAACTGTGGAGCCTGCAGAGCAGCTCTGGAGCCAGGGCCAGATTGGGAGTTTAAGGGCAGGGCTATAGACTTCTTTCCCTTGTCTCCCCAGCAGCCATTTTGCTTCTGTGTACCAGATACCAGTGCTGCTCCCACTCAGATTTCCTCCTCAAGCCAGCCAAGCTCTGGCACATGAGCTGAGGCCTAAACAGGTGACTTCTTGTCACACCTTCACTGAAGTGATGGGGACCTGCTCTCCCTCAATTGTCCCTTGCTTCTTCCAATAGGCTCTGTTTGTGTCTAGGAAAGTTTATGGGTTTAATCCTCAACACCTCAAAGTAGGAATTACCATTCGAGTTTTATAGGAAAACAAGCTGACCCACAGAGGCCAAGGACTTTCTAAAAGTGGTACAACTACTCGATGGCAGAGCCAGGGCTCAAACTCAGTTCATCAGATGTTGAATGCAAGCTCTGTACACAACACCCAACTGCAGTGAGCAGTCCAGCCCAGCTGAAGCACACTTCGCTGTATACTCATTTATTCCTTTAGACACATCTTCCCAAGAAGGTCTTCTCAATTCCCATCTAAAGGAGGGTCCGAGGAATAGACAAAGCACCATTTTCCAGAATGTTTCTAAGTCTCCCACATGACATACCTTGGATCGCATGGCATGAAGCCTTTCCAGCATGAGTCACGAATAGCACATATTGAAGAACAAAACAAGCAAATTACCGAACATGACTAATAAACTCAAGAAACTATTAAAACACAGTAGCTGGTATCATTCAAATGTACATTTCCTTAAAACACCAGGCACGTTGCTCGGTTTCTGGGTAATTTGTCTCTTTTAAATATATTTCAGGAAATATGTGATTCCAAGATAAATAGGCAACTCCTCAGTTAGTACTAGAAATATCACAAATGAATATATTCAGATTCCTAATGACACAGCCAACAAGGAGTAAGGAGAAGGAGGGTAGGAAAGTATACATGTCTTTTTTCAAGAGCGCGGAGGACTTAAACCTATTAGTATATTAGAGTCATAACGTAATTAAACATATGCATAGTTTACAAGCTGATGCACTTATACAATATGGAACTGCCTCTCCAAAATGCTGAGCAGGGTGACTGAATCACTTGCATTGTTTCCATGACTTATAGGAAAATAATACAGAATTAAATAGGTTGACTTGCTTTATAGAAGACAATATCCAGGCAAATCTGGACACACACTCCACTACTGGAAACACTCAAGGGGAATTCTTCTCTCTGGTATGAAAAACTACCCCCCAACTTCGCAAGTTTATGTGCACACTGGGCTTTTAAATACTTTACCTGCGCAGAAAAGTCGATGAGCTTTGGCAGCAGCACTTTTCCACCTTCATCGCTCTTGAGGAAGTCCAACAAACTGCCTGTGGACAGAGGAAGGACAGTCAGTGCAACTTAAGCACATGAGTAAAATAATCCTTGCAAGTGATTGGCAGCATAGCTCAGGGATGGAGTGCTGCCCAGCATGTTCAAGGCCTTGGGTTCAACCCCAAGCACTGTGAAAAACAATCCAAACAAAATTCAGATGGTCACCTGGGGGAGCTAGGGGTAATACCCCACAGAACAATGGGTTTGCACTTCTGGGTGGGTACAAAACTGTTTTTGACTCGGTCCTTTCTGATCTGTTACTGTTGACCTGATGTTGAGCCCACCATATGCTGCAGGTGAGAGAGGACGATGAGTGGGGGCTACTGCTCTTGCCCACACATATCTGAAACAGGGCAGTTCAGAGCAACTTGCCAAGGTGATTAGCTTCCTGCAATAGCCTGATCTCTAGTGAGTACCTCCATCACAGAAAGCCAGAAAGCAAGTCCTCATGGAGGACAGACATCAGGCAAGCTTGCTCGTACCTGCATCTAGCAAAGGCAGACCTCAGAAGAAGCCAGAGGTGCTAGAAGAGTAGCTATATAGGAAACAAGTTAGACTTTCCTAAACAGTGTGCCAACAGCTACCTCACCTGCTCCTGTGGCTTCCTCTCTACAAGACCTGCTTTCCTTTAGAACTTCAGCCTTTCAGGTAACTTCGGTCCAGTCACTTACCACCACTAAACCTTTGTAAAGGAGGCATGGTAGCTCTACAGGAGTTCTTGTGAGGATGTAAACAGGGGCAAATTTAAGGTGCACAGTGAAGGGTTTGGCTGTAGTAAGTGCTCAGTGAACACTGCACTGCCTCTCCATGACACAGAATGACACCTAGTCCTTGGATTGCTGAAGAGAAGGTGAGATCACCATAGAAGGCACTGAAAGCAGTTTTGTAGGTTGTAAGCGCTCATTAGATATTGTTATAAGAAAACTCCATATGTATATTTATGGTCAAATACTATTAGTTAATTTAATAATATTCATGAAATCACAAACCATCTAGTCCTGAGCATGGGTTCTCAGTTACAGTAACCCAAGCCACAGGGGCATAATTTTTATTTTATGTATTTTAAAATATTTGTATTTATTATCTTAATTTTATGTGTATGAGTATATTGCCTGCATTTATGTAAATGCACCTATGTCATGCGATGCACATGGAGGTCAGAAGAGAGCATTAGATCCCCTGTAACTGAAGTTACAGATGGTTGCTAGTCACCATGTGGGTGCTAGGAACCAAATCCAGGTCCTCTGCAAAAGCAGCCAGTGCTCTTAACCACTGAGCCATTTCTTCAGTCCCTTATTTTATATTTTTGACAATGTCCTTGAGGATGGAGACATAGCTCAGTGATCAAGTGCTCACTTAGCATGTGCAAGGTCCTAGGTTTAATACCCAGCCTTGGAAAAAAACAACCCCCCCAAAAAACCCATGCCCTTTGCGGGGAGAATTTTGTATAATTGATATTTTAATAATAGCAATTGTTAACAGGTATTAAGTGAGAAAATATAATATTTATTCTTCTAATCTATTAGCAAACAGGTCTTTCTATCTATTAGTTTGATGTAAGTGCACCTGTGTTGTGCAGTGCCCATGAAAGCCAGAAGAGGGTCTGACCTCTTCTGCTTGTCTACTGTGAGAGACACCCCAGGTTGGTCTCCAGCATCACAAGCAAAAAACAACAACAAAATTACTAACCTATTGGCTATGATGTCACAATATAATCCTACTACACATGAGATAATTATAAATTTGGAATTATTGTTCATGTACTTTCTTCCTTTCATTCATCCTTCCAAAGACATAAAGAAATCATTTGACATTTTATTAGTCTCTCTACCGAACTGAAGGTGAAGAAAGGATGATGATTGGAAGCTGCCCAGAGCCTCTTCTTCAGGGACTAAATGACACATGGGATTTAACCTCTATTGAGTTTAAAAACATTGACTACTTTTGTACATGAGGCAAGCTCTCCATCACTGAGCTACATCCTTAGCCTGTACATTAACATTTTAAAGTGACACCCTGAAAGTTTAGATAATTCTAAAAAAAAAATAAATAAATAAGTTTTAAGAATTATACTTTGCAGGCCTGCTGCCTTTAAAGGGCATGGGCACTACTAACCTTTGGCCATGTACTCAGTGATGATATAGATGGGCTCTTCCTTAGTGACCACGGCATAGAGTCGCACCAGCTTGTCATGCTGTAGGGTCTTCATGAGGTTGGCCTCTTCCAGGAACGCCTGCACAGACATGGTGCCTGGCTTCAGGGTCTTTACAGCCACCTTCGTACTGTTGTTATAGTAACCTGGGCAGGAAAAAGAAAGTAGGGCGTGTATCAAAGGGCGTATTCCAACAGTGGGCTTTGTAAATGCAGAGTCAGAAAAGCTTAGTTTTAGACAGAGCAGGCCAAAGATAAAACAATATCTGCTGTTTAAACTAAGGGACACTGACTGAGGGTATGTGGGGATTTTTTGTACTTTTTCACAAAAATTTTAAATTAATGCCGAAAACAAAAAGGTTTTGTAAAACAATAGTAAAGAAAATTCTATTTGCATTTTACCATGAGGACTAGTTTCCTCCAATTAATAAAATGTTATACAAGGAAAAATAAATAATAAAATCAAATAATAATATGAGAGGGAGAGAGAATGTAAAAAAAAAAGGTCAAAACACACACCCAGACACACTTTCTCCAATGGAACAGTTAGGGATGATTTTAATTTTGCTCACCGTAATTTTAACTATTTATCAAACTTTATAAAGTATGTACAGATTTTTTTGAGATCCTATGTAGACTAGGCTGGCCTTAAACTTTGTGCTCCTCCTGTCCTCATCTCCTGAGTGCTGGGATAACAGGTATGTAACGACACCATGTCTGGCTTGCATTATTTTTCTAAACAGGTAAAAGTATTGCATTTATAAAAACGTTTGTGTGTGTGTGTGTGTGTGTGTGTGTGTGTGTGTAAAACTGAAAGTATAATATGCCAGAGTGAAATAAATATTTCCCAAAGTTTTCAGAGAAGTGGGCTCAGGCGACTAGGTGAGAAAGGGTCTAGGGCTGAAAGGCAGGGACCACCCTTGTCCAGGGGAGGCTGTGGGGCCCAGGGAGACTTGAATTTCTTTCTCAGTTTTCTCCATACTCTCCAGACCACAGAACGCTTGCTTGTGTACCTGTCACAGCTCATGGGACACCTTGGGATCCTCTCTTTAATACAGTTCCCTCAAGGCATCACTATTTTGGAAACTGCCTCAAAGAAGTACTTAAATTGAATCTTTATTTTCTCTAGGGAAAGGCTTTTTTTCAGTAGTTTGGCAAAGAAGAAGTATATGTAAAACTCCCCCTTCCCTGTCTCCATTTCCGTGTTTCTCTTGAAGTGTAAAAAATGAAGTTGCAGAGGAAGGTGCAGCTGGCAGCAGCCTGCGGACTCCTCTGAGCATTCCTGCCATCTCGTGGGGTGTTCTCTGGTGGGGTACCCCTCTGAGACATCTGCCTTCAGAAGGTGATCTATGTGTGAACAAGCCCCATCTGTGGGTCATCAACTCAGATGCATGTGAGCAGAGGACTGGAAGCAATGCTCAAACAATGCCTCTGGGTGGGAGAATTTGGGGTGACTTCTACTTTCTCTTGTTCTGTTTTGTTTTTGCTAAACCCGTCAATAAGTATGCATCTTTTTATAAAAGGAATTATTTTTTAAAAGAAATAAATTAGCCTTCAATCTCCAAACCCTCAAATGGGCATAAAAAATAGTAGTAGCTGCTATTAGTCCCCCCAGCTAATGATTTTTCTTCTGGCTTTTAGGACTGATTTGTCATCCCAGGGATGTAGCTTGGTAATAGTGCGCTTGCTGCCCATGTGTGAGGCCCTAGGTTCCATCCCCAGCCTTACAAAGAAAAAAACAAAAACAAAGAAGGGTTTCTGTGAAAATGTTTATCTTTTGATTATTCTTTATAATACTTTGCTATACTTTATAGCATAATAAAATTAGTAGTACTTTTTAATACCACGTAGAAAGATAAAAAATATAGGATGAAGCCAGGCATGGTGGCACACACCTTTAAACCCAGCACTCGGGGCAGAAGTAGAGGCACACAGATTTCTCTGAGATGGAGGCCAGTCTGGTCTCTAGAGCAAGTTCCAGGCCAGCTGTGGCTACAGGGAGACCCTGTCTAAAAAGTCCAGAAAAAAGAAAAAGCAGGAAGCAATAAATTTTAAAACATTCGGAGAAGAGAGTAACAGAAAAAGGTAACAAAAAATGTCCCACCAGCCCTGGGGTCACAGACATGCACTGCAGCACCCAGCTTTTACGGGGCTGCTGGGGATCTGAACTCGGGTCCTCAAACTTGCACAGCAAGTACTTTACTCATTGAGCCATGTCCTTATTCCCAAGAATATATTTTCTGGCTGCATTCTGCCATCAATATATATGCGCAAAACTGACAAAGAACTAGTTTCCTGAATTTTAAATAATTATAATTACTACAAATCAGTAAGTTAAATAGTAATGTAGGTGAGGGCTTGGCTGCACAGAAATTCCAGTGCCCCTGACATCCGGAAGGAACTCAGTCACATCAGTAATCAGAGAAATGCAAATGAGGCTATAGAAAGAAGACCCACGGACCAAAATTAAAAAGTATGACATAAGTGGGGGTTAGTGCTGGGGAGGGACTCTGGGGCAGCTTCCTCAGGCTCTTCTGTGTATTTCTCTGAACACCACTGAAAGTTAGTGGCCATGAGGGATGCTGACAGGAGCCTCCTTCCAATCGACCACACACAGGCTGCACTGCTCTGGGGTCATATTTGAGGTGGAAGTCAAGAAAGGCACCTGATATATTGCTGGTGGTGAGTGAAATTGGGACTGGTCGACAGTGTTAGCAGAGCTGTAGCTTCATAAATAGTCATCCCTATGTAATTCAGAGGGGATTGGTCCAGGACCCTTGTGCACACCCAAATATAAGGATGTCTTCCACACAAAATGGCCCTGTACTTGCATCTAACCTGTGCATATCTTCCTGGATACTTTAAATAATCTCTAGATTACTCAGGATTCTTAGTAAAATGCTGTATTATTTAGGTACATAGAAAAAAGTTTTTACCTATTCAATACAGGTGCAATTATCCCCCAAATATTTTCCATCAAGATTGGTTGGACCCAAAGATTTGGAGGGCTGATGGATATTGGAAATGTCCTGGATTTCCTGCATTCTAAGATTCAGCAAATCCATTCCTAATCACCACAGAAGAATTCAGGAACTCTTGCACCAGCACAAAAGTGTTCAGAGCACATTGTTCACAGTAGCCACAACCAGGGACAACTACGCGCTCACAAGTAAACAGTGAAAAGAAAGGAGAAAGTGCCGTTGTCTTGACAAAACCACACAGCAATGAAAGTGTGTGAACTGCCACCCCAAACAGGGATGAATTCATAAAGATATCCAAAGAGAACAAATTCAGTATGACCCATTCACATCAAGTCCAGGCAGAGCTGAACTATATTGTTTGATGCATGCTTCACCATGAACAAAGGTCATCAAGCGAGATATAAAAAAATTGCAGGTCAGTGGTGAAGGCTGCCTAGCATTCCCAAGGCCCTGCCTCTCCCCACCTTTCCCCAGCACCAAATTATAAGAATATAAAATATATAGAAATAAAAAATTATGACAAGAGTCAGAAATAGCATCTTCAGGGTCAGGCAAATCTGTGGCTGTGGACAAGAAGGACTGGGGCTGGCAAGTATCCTCCGTGAGATCTCGGAGGTGGCCACTCAGGGTTTCACTTTGTATTTTTGACACTATCTATGCAGTATGTGCTTTTCTTTGGACTTGTTACATCACATAGAATAAACATTAAAAAAACAAAATCACTCCTCCTCATCATCATGAAAGCAATGGTGCCCGTGGAAACTTTTGCATCCTTTGAAATGTTGAAAAAAATGCTTTCCAGCAGTAGAGGAAAAGTCACCAGGAAACACTGCAGCTGCTTCAGACATTAAAGATGCTGATAAGAAGTTTGGAATGAACAGTGACTAAACACCTGCGTCCCCAGCTCCTGAACAGCTGCAGTTTCAGACAAAATGACCCCCAAAGGACACGGAAAGAAAGTAGCATGACCTTCATTCTTGCACCAGACATGAGCTTTATTCTGCACCATGGACCACATCACACCTTCAGGATATTTCTCAGCTATTTGAAGGTTTATTAATCTAGTCACAGAGATTTGGGTTGATGTTACAGATGGGTAAAAAGAAATCTTTCAGGGCATCAAAGGACTTCTTGTGGAGTGACACTGTCACAAAGAGAAAGCTGATGTGACAATTTGAGAAAGCTCCAATTCTGGCTGTGCCTGGCTTGTGAGCCATAGAATGGAGGATGGCTTAAAAAAAGCACGTGATTGATTTTGGGAAGTTGACTGGTTTCTATTAAAGATTAAAGATGCTGATAAGGAGTTTGGAATGAACAGTGACTATAGTTCTATTAAGTTGCCTCAAAATCAGAATGTATCAAGGCTGGAAAGATGGCTCAGCAATCATGAGCTCTGGCTGCTCTTGCAGAAGACCCAGGTTCGGTCCCCAGCACCCACACAGTGACTCATAACCATCTGCAACTCCAGTTCCAGGAGATCGGATGCCCTCTTCTAAAAAAATAAGAATGTGCTGGGCATGGTGGCACATGCCTTTAGTCCCAGCACTGGGGAGGCAGAGGCAGGCAGATCTCTGTGAGTTCGAGGCCAGCCCAATCTACATAGTGAGTTCCAGGGCAGCTGGGGCTACAGAGAGACCCTGTCTCAAAGAGACCAAATAATAAATAAATAAATAAATAAATAAATAAATAAATAAGTAAATAAACAAATAAGAATGTATCGAACACAATTCAGTTACAATTTTTTCCCTTTCTTCCACAAAGCCTCTTGGAGACCATGCTGTCAGGGGCTTCTTCCACCTCCTCACTGCTCAGTCAGATTGATGGGATTATTAATAATCCATAGAGGAAGCAAGGCGTCCAGGGCAGATGCCAAGACAGTCACACAAATAGGAGGAAATAGCTTGAGGCAGGGACACCGCTCCCTTTCATCCCACCGCCCCCTTCATACAAAGGGCAGATTACATCAGAGAATATGTTTACAGTGTTTCAGAGCTTACAATATGACAGGCAGTCTATGAACAATGGGTCAAGATTAATAAAAATGTTCATATATTTGGTTAACAATGGCATAATTTTAACGATTGATTTCTTTTCTACTAATGTGAGAAGGCAGCCCACTTATCCCTTGAGAAACACAAACTGAATCAGGCAGCTCTACCCTGCCCA